GCCTGCACACACAGACACACTCACACACATAACATACGCAGTTGCACACTCACACACGGGCCACTCAATTCGCAATTATTATTAATAAATCTTGAGAATGGAAACCGCTTGGAGAAATAGAGTTTATTTTCCCGAACGTTCAGAGAAATTGAGCCGGCCTTAGTTTATTTAATGGGCTGGGTGAAGGCCATTTCACATGAACAGCAAACAACAGCGAAAAAAAATAAAAAGCTATTCCTAGATCTAGATCTATGGTTATAAAGTATGCAAGAACGAAATGTCGAGCAAAACGCATGTCTCCAGGATACCTAGATCTACCGATACTCACAATTATAGCTTAATTTTAAGAAGGCTATTTGATTTTTAAACAAAAAGTTGAAAAGGCTATCTATGGCAACGGTAATCAGTAGAGAATGACGGGTGATTTTTTCTCACCCGAAGTAACAATATAGGTGGCCAAAAAAGACTTTAAGAAGAAAAACTGACAAAACACACATGCACATTCACGCACTCACACAACACACACACACAAATACATATACACACACACAGACTCACAAACGCACACTGCACGCGCTTCTGGCTTTATACACATGTACACACACACACACACACACATGATACACACGCACACTCCCACACACACACAAACTAACAGACAAACGAACAAAGACAGTCGCAGCTCTTTTCTTGTTGTTGTTGCTGTTGTTGCCCCTAGTGATTTTTGTTGCTGTTGTATGCTGCTGACAAAGTGGGATTCCCTCAATGATGTCAAACAAGATGGCTATTACTATAAATTTTGGCCAATGGCGTTTAGTTGTCGTTCTCTAGCTCTCCGCTTGTCATTTTATCACACTGGTGCAGTCAAGACGACACCGTCATCTCGTCACACCCCAAATCCACAAGGTTGAAAAAGACAGTCATTTCGGGATTGCAAACATCAAACGGGCATTGTCTTGTCATGGCAATCGCAAATCATAATTTTTGGGGGAAGTTTGGGGCTTGTCAGTAGAAGGACGAGGGAGGGGGCTGTGCGAGTCGTCGTGCCTACCTGATCAGCTGCACCGTTCATAAGTATGTACTGACAATATTGAAATTTATCGAGTCTGATCAACAAAGTTTTTAGGTATTATTATTGATGAAAAGTGTAATTGGGATAATTGGCAAGATGATATTAGTTTTCTGTTAAAAATAAATTAGCTAATAGAATTGTATGGTACTGCAATTTTGCTAAAAGCTAGACCTTTCCTTTCAAACAAAGCCTTTAAATTAAATCTTTAGCAGCTTTAAATTTAAACTATGTTGATGGCTATTCTCCGGCATCACATAATAATTATAGTTGCCCATGTCGCTTCTCCACAGTTTTCCATCTCCCCTGTCGGCACCGATTGGCCATTATTGTTGCAAGTTTCTAAGTTAAGTGCCAGATGCGCCTTCTGAAGAAATGCCGAAGCTGATGAGTGTTTGTGTAAGGCCATAACGTGCCAGTAGGGGAGATGAAAGCTGTGTGGAGAAATGACATGTGCAACTATATGTGACGCTGGAGAATACCATCGATCTATTGGCCGGCGCGATGCTGGAAAATAATTAGCCACTTGCAAATTCAAAATCAAAAGTAATAACTCTAGATTTAGAGAGATCTCTATCATACTCTGCTTTAAAAGAATTAAGTAGAGTAGATCTAATTTAATTTAATATTTTAATTCTGGTATGTTTTACTTTCAGTCCCAGAAATATTCGCTTTTGGTTGAGCCAAGTCACATTTTTGGCTGCAGAACACATGGCCACTAAGAGTAAAACAGTTGCAAAATCAATTATTTTCAAGAAAATTTCAAAAAATCACTTCAAATTACAGGGCTACAGGGTAATGGACAATAGTTAGTTATAATATAGCCAAGCTAACGAGGCCTCCTCCATTCCCCGAAGAAATCTCCCAGGATTGGTAGTGAAAGTGAAATAAAATTCTAAAACCGGCCCTTGTTTAAAGTTTCCTTAGAGCTTACTGTCAAGTGTTCTGTCTTAATTGTAATTATCAAGTCGCTCTTTTATCAAAGTAATGATTATATTGTCATCATGTAGGAAAGATACCTTCTTAGGCCTATACTATAGAGGCTAAGTTTGTCATGACAAGATGATCCTTTGTTTGCTGAATATCGATCAGAGAATAGATAACGAGACTTAAATTTATGATAAGGGCCTAGGCCTATCTATAGTCTAAAAATGACAAACAAAAGAATGTTAGTGTTAGTGCATCCTTTTTTATAAGAACCGACTGACTGTGCACTGGACAAGACTGGAGCGTGTGAACTATTTTCTTTCAAATTCAAGTTGGTTGTAGAGATTATTAAGTAATTAATATCCTGCCCTAATTTAGACTTTTATTTAGTATTTAAAAAATAAAAGTTGTAAAGTTACATTTTTATGTTGATGTAATTATAATTTGAAATTAGTTATCTGTTATGTTTAGCTCTGATGCAGATTCAACCCATGTCATCGATCTCCTATCCTTTAATTATAGATGACTTAGAGTCCAGGGACACATTGTGATCACTAAACTATGCTTGTTTTGGTACTTTTTTGCAGCCCTACTTTTTCATTTGTTTGTCGTAAAAGAAGCAAATATAGAGACCTTGATACTTGACATTCTTTGATCATAACAGCGCTTTTGAATATTGAAGTGACTATTCGGACTCATATGAATAGCCTCCTGTCGCTGTTTGGGCTCAACTCCGAGGTGCGGATATGTAATACGGGGTGGCCATTTTGGGGGATGGGGTCTGGTCGGGCCGGTTTGCAAGCCAGATCCCCTCCCCAATAGGCATCACTATCAGAATATGTATTGTATTGTCCTGATTTTTTTACATCATGTAAAGTCACTAAAAGTGTGCTGTTGGAAAAGCTTTTCCTGTAGACCAATGTTACTTTGAATAACTGACTTTCGTTCCCTTTGGAAAGGTTTTTAACTTTTCTCTTCTTAAATTTCTGAATGGACTTCCAATTGATCAATGATTTTGTGTTTCCCGTCAAATAAAAGCGGGTTTAGACTACCTATATTGATAGAGTTATAATCCTTTGTTGTTCTGAAACTTTGATTTTCAAATTTTTCACTGCTTTGAGCTCAGATTGCTGTTTCCCTGTCCCTGTAGCAAAGTAGTATCGATATGGCATTTCGACTTGGAATATTATCAAGATCTTCTTTTGTGTTTGTTTCAGCTCAGAATTCTCTGTGGTAGTCAGGTAACTGTTACAATTGCGACAAATATATATACAAATGATCGATATTAATCTTAGTTCTGTTGTTACTCTTGAAATAAGCTTCATCCGAGTTCATGCAAACAAAACTGCAAAAACAAACCTGATGACAACTGTGCTGCAGGACAAAGTAGAAGCACAAAGAAATCTGAGAGGACTTTTTACCCGAGGCTAACCCCTTCACCACAGACACTGATGATGCAGTTGTAGCTGGGATATAAAAATGTAAACATTGTGAAGGAAATGCCACAGGTGTATGGTGTGGACTTTTTTTTCCAGATATTGAAGTTGCGAGACGAGGGGCTGAGAAGTGTGTGTTGGTTTGATGTTTGCAAGAATGTACATAAAATTGTTGTAAGGACGAGTTGTATTGTGATTTTGATAGATTTGTTGATAAACTGTAATTGTTCTATTTTTCCCAGAAGAGGGAAAACTCCTCGGAAGAGAAATGCAAATTCGCCATTCCAAGAGCCTGTGGAGGTAAGATTAAGATAACTTTACTTAATTGTGATGCATTTATTTGTCTTTAACTTAACATATAAAAGTAAAAGTGAATTAAGGTGTCATTGCTCATTGCTGTGGATATAGCGCATTGAACAAAGTCCTTGAAAAAGATTCCCAAGATCAATGTATAATTTGTTAACACTATTTATTGTTGTAAAGTTACTCGAAACACTGTTTTCTTTGCTTTAGAGAAATGTGGTTTATTTGCAGATTTGGGAATTTCATGAAAGGGGGAAAAGGATTCTCAAATGGTTGAGATAGTTCTGAAAGAAGCCTGCATCAGATGGTCATTAATTAAAAACAAAAGAAGAGAGAAAAATATATACATGTAATTAAATCTAATGCAGTTCTTAGGATACTACTTGACCTGTGGTGGAGGCCTCTCGTTGGTGAAATGAAAGGCAAAACTGGCAAAGATAGACTGAGAATAACTTTACAGATGGATGACGAGACAAAAATTACAGTAATATAGCTAGAGTGTTTTGAGAGCCTCTGAGCAGAGGAATGAGTAGTGGAACCATTATTGCTGATATAATTTGTTTCAGATTTGGTTCTTGGAGAAGTGGAGCTTATTTTGGGCATTTTAGTTGTGCTGTTTCTTGAATTTAGCTGAAGGGAAATCTGGATTGCTTAGTTGCTGCCATTTTGCAAATCCTGCAAGATCAGGAGACGTTAATTGTACATCAAACTTACTTTATCATTCAGGCCATAGCTGTCATGTACACTGCAAATTGTATAAAACGATATAAATTCAATTTGTATATTTTTGTTATTGGTTGATGTTCTGTCTAGGGTAGTGGTAAGATAGTACAGGTTGTGCTTTTTTCTGCCAGAAGGACTTTCCTGTCGTACCCTTTATAAAGTAAGGTTTGCAAAATGAAAAATGAAATAAATTACTTTGTAGACAAAGGAAATGAGTACAGTAGTCTCCGCCTAAGATCCCGGTTCGCTTAACATCCCGCTGTTTTTAAGAAAACTGAATTTTTACTATACAAAAGTCACCTCTAAGATCCCGCTCTGATTCACTCTGAAGGTCTACATTCGGCTAAGATCCATCCTTTCAGATCATAATTTGCGGAACAAAAACCTGTGGGCACAGCCGATCCACCCGGAGTGAAAAGTTTAGATCAATAAACTGTCCGTCGCATCAAAGATCAGTCACTAGTGTGAATGTGATCGTATACACATTGTTTGTAAAACTAGATGAAGCGATACAATGTTTGCCCCAGACGGGATCACACCGGGATGTGAACTGACTGACACGTTTGTTTTCTCCATGCATCACACTCACACCTTTGCTTTCCCCCTAAACCTACATCACTCGCTGGGTGGGTAGGGCCTACATGTTCGCTCCAGGCGGGATCACATCGAACCGTGAACTTTTTAGTTGTCTCTGCTCCCGAATTTGCGAGACAGACTGAATTTTAATGCTTTTAAAAAATTAATTAATTCATCAGTAGCTTTTTCCAAAATTTACCGATTTGGTCGAGTCAGTATTAACATATTCTTTGATGCCATCTTGCCCTTTCTCAACTACACTTACAAATCTAGTGATGGATTACGCAAACCGCCTTGACAAAATCATCCTTTGGCTATCGATAGGGTTTGATCTGAGTTGAGGTTAGCAAAAGCAGCACTTTCTTTTGATGTTACCCTCCAGTCTGTTTTGACAAAGGCCACAGTAGTGTGGGTCCACTGGGTTGTGCTGCCTACGCGACAGGTGAACACATGAACAAGCCACTGAATCTGCATGATTCAACCGCCGGGCTGCAAAACTGGCACTTGGGCCGTTGAATCACGTGGAAATTGGGGATTGGTGTGATATAGGTGATTGATTTACTGAAGGATTGAAACACTTTGCGGTAATTTTTCAAACTCGGGATTTTAACATTATACTTAAGGTGTATCAAAGGCTGTACTATATAAAGAGATCAAAATGTGATTTTAGAAAATTTTGTCTCTTAGGCAGTTGAACCACGCGGCTAGCGAATTATTCATTATTTATCCATTGTATTTTAGGTGTACTGTCGCCTTCGACCTTTGGACGACCCAAATGAGCCGGCTTGTGCTAAGCCATTGAGCAATTCTGTTGTGCAGCTGACACCTTCTGATGTAAGTATTTTGTTTTCAGTTTTTCCCCATGATAGCTGCTACTGAAATGATGCTTGTTGTAGTTTGAAAAGAAAACCCCTTGGAATATCAGGCTTGAAGGATTGAGTGTACCCACATCCTTGTTCAGCAGTAGTGGGATGCACAAATATACAAAATGCAGTGTTTGCAGTCTTCCTTTTACCTCATGTGTCTTTGGGTATACCAATACGTGGTATGCAAAATTGTGAAATAATTCTTACAGGGATGACTTTATTTGCTCTAAATATACCATGCAGGCTGGGCTTCTTGTTTTTTTTAAATTGGTGATGGAAAGACAAATGAGGGAAGCTTTGTAAAGTAAAAATGTATTGTGGGAAATATTTGTGAACTATTTTAGGTCTCTTTTGAACTTTTCCTTTCATCCTGTCTGTTTTTTAAGTCTGCAAGCCCTCAGTTCCTCTACTGTTATTATCTCTAGGAGAGACTTAATCAATAATCAGTTCACTCTAACACAAATAGATTGCTATTGTTTTTATTTTTATTTGTTTTCAACTCTTTTGTCCTTGTTCTCTGCTGTTTGGCTTGCCCTTAATCTGTTTCCTGTTCATGAAATCTGAAAGCTCATTTTTATGTAGTATGGCCTGCATTTTGAAAAAAAAAAATCTATATAAGTTTTCCTCTGCTCCCCAGAGTAATTGCTTCTCTATTTGGCCTGCTTTCTTCGTATTTTTGCTTACAGTTACAGGAACTGCCATTTGTACCATATTCCTATTTGTGAGAAGGCTCGCATTACACCTGACAATATTCCTGATTCTAATGGCAATTTATTTCAAACAAACTGGACTTCTGATATTTACTTTTCTGCCTCAAATAGGAGACATATTCTGGAAATCAAGAACACTATGAACGTATTATTTATTAAAAGGGGGACTACACTGAAGAAATATCACGACACTTAGTTCAAAAGATTCTCTCTGAAGTGATACAGTAATATACCACTTTTAAGAAATGTTTATGGAGCATGATCTTTGGATGACCTGATATATGAAACTACTGGGACAGCAATGAATTAAGAAAATGAATAATATGTATTGTATCTGGGGTTTTTTTAAAAGCAAAATTGGTGCCTTTTTTTATTTTGTTTGTTGTGATGCATAAAACATTTGAAGATGTAATGCAAACATTTTTCATTGTGCAATTTTCATTTTCATGTGCACTCCTGCTTTCTTTTGGCCCTGGTTTTTAGTGACTTTTATATAGAGTATTGCTTTGTTTCTGTTGCAGGCTGTCTTCGTTTAGTTTTTTTTTGGTTTATATTGATGTCTTGGAAGATTAAGAACTTTTCCCTCTGATTTTGACTTGACTACTTTGATTTATTATGGATATCTCCTGAACAGCTTGGTTATATTATATATGCATGGTTATTTTGCATGTATGCTTGGCTAGTTATTGAGAATTTTTAATGAATTTCAGAACGCTGTGGTTAGAAATGGACAAGTGAAAGAGGTAAGCTCTTTCTTTCCAAAATTTTATTTTTCCTTAGTCTATCTTTACAGAACATCTTTAGTAAAAATATAGCTTTTTAATACATTTTGTAAAGAAAATTCTATAACATAGTTACGGCTGTTCTATTACTGTCTTGATGGAACAGTCTTATTTTAACATTTGTTTTATGCCTTGTGGCCCACAGCTTTGGTTTATGTCATAACATTTTTTTTTAAAGATTTAAAGTAAAATCTCCTCTGGTAAGAAATGTGATCAGTATAATTATAATTGATGCTATAATGGATTAAACCGCTTTCCAGACAATAGTCTATCAATCAGTATTATTTGAATTCGCTCGAAATGGATAGAGGGCTTTGTATTTGAGGAAATCTACAGCAGTGTGGGTGGTGTCTGTCCAAGTACGGAAAACTGACTAATTTTAGATATAATGATTACAGTTGCATTTATATAGTGCATATCCGCGCTCTACAGCATGTTCCATGTGCTTTACATCCATTATTATCCTGGCAGACCTAGAACACTCAGAAACCTTGTAAGTCTTCCCGGGAAGCATACAGTGCAAACTATGGATTGTATGTGCACAAATAATACTAACAAACTGACAAGATCTGTTGTTGTCTATACCCGGGTGACCGTTCTCACATGGGTGGAAAATTCATTCAAAGTGCCTTTCTCTAAGACAGCGTTGGATCCCTAACAAGATTCAAACCCACGACCTTATGGTTACGAGTCTGAGAGCCTAACCGCTAGGCCATCTCTGCCACACAATATATTATAATGTAGTTGAAAACAATGTATCTGCTGTATATGGGGCTTGCTTGTGTTGGGCTGGGAGCTTAATATAGTGTACGACAGCGTTACAGATAGGAACTTATGTGTCACTGTCACAGAGCAGGGATATTTATGACGTTGCCTACAGTAAATGGTTGGAGGGTGCTGCTGATAGGGCCTAATTTTCCTTCTTTCCCTCTGTCTGTCTCTGTCTTTCTGTCTTTCTGTCGGTCTTACTTTTTCCCAGTATTAAATGGCCATTATTGTGTCAATGTGCTTCTCTTTACTCAAACAATCTCTATTTAGAGACGGGGTGCTACATTTAGTAGGGACATACGGGACATTATTAAAGACACACAGTTTTCAATTTAAAAAAAAAATGTATAAGCTATAGATATATAGATATATATATCTATATACTGCATTGAATAGTTATAATTCATGTCTTTAAACTGTTTTAATGTCATATTTCCAGGATTTATTCATACAACTATAAACATTGAAAACTGTCAAACGTCTAATGTTTTTACTCTCCTCCTACTTCTTTTGGATCTGTTACACTCTTGTTGCCCCTCTTTTCTTTGGCGCTTATATGAATATGACTTGATTGTGTTGCAAGTGCCATAAAACACAAAAACAAAAAGAAATCAGATTTTTTGGTCATTGACACCAATTTTTTTCTTCCTTTGTTTTTCTCTTTTTTTTTCATACCAGTTTGTCATGGAAGCACTGCATGATATTTTGTTTACTCTAGTGTATAGTTTCTTAGGAGACTTGAGAATTTCATAAGGAAAAGAAATTAAATGAGGTAGTACTGAAAGAAACCTGCATGGGCTGCTCGCAAATGAAAACAATTAGGAAGAGACATTTGCTGTTTCTGGGACTCTTGAATAAATATAAAGGCCCTGATCATTTTGCCTGGTGCTTTATTACGATGTAGTGTATGATTCTATAGTGTTATAAATTGCGTTCAAGTTCTGGGCTTGGTGTTTGTTAAGAAGTGAAGTTCTATATAACATAACTATATTTTTTTCTGTACAGAGTTCTGACTGGTTTCTTTTAATCTTTACCCTCAGTACCAGTACACCTTCCAGAATGTTTTTGATGAGTTTTCCTCACAGAAAGCAGTTTTTGACAGAACTGCTTTGCCTTTGGTGGAGGACTTGGTCGCTGGGAAAAATGGTATGGGGACTTCCATGGTTTGGTTGAGTGCAGATTAGATGCATGCTGAAGTTTACAAGGCTGCAATGTGTGATAGAACGCTTTCAAAGGTCAAACTGTATGACGCTTTATTGTTTCTTTTATGATGTGATGAAGTTCATTCTTTGTTTTTAATGTTCTTATTTTGAATTTGGATGGAGCACCCGTGTTTGCCAAAGTGTCCGTTTAATGCATCGCAAGAATGTCTTCCTGGCAGACTTTTCTTTTCTACTCTCGTCTCAGACCATAATGATATTTCCAGACTTAATGTTAAAGGTCAGAGTTCAAAACTCTCGCCAATGGAACGATGTTGTTTTGATCCTATAACTTATAAAACGTTGCTTTTTGGTGGCAAGGGGGGGGGGATGATTGACTGTATTTGACAGCTGTGGACCTTCTGCCAGGATGAAAAAAAAAAGAGCCATATTTTTCTGAATTTTCATTGTCAATTTTATTGTTTTTGATAATCAAGTTCACTTTTGGTCTCTCTTAGGCCTCCTGTTCACCTATGGCATCACCGGATCTGGTAAGACGTACACCATGACAGGAGTACCTCAGGACCAGGGTATCTTGCCTCGCTGCTTGGATGTGCTTTTCAACAGTATTGGGGAATTGCAATCAAAGAAATATGTAAGTCTTTTCGCCTAGGTTTCTTGTAGGCTCAAAATAAGATTGCCAATTTCAAGAAAATATATGAGGCAGCATGGTGAAATCAGGCGCTTGTCAAAATAATGAAATTGAAGAAACTGGCGTTTTTCTGTTGGTTTGGTAATATTTGTCGAAGATTTTTTTTTGGCTCAAGAAACATCTTTATTGTCCATTAAAAAACCCACTTCTGTGTGGATTTTACCGAAAACCTTGATTGAAGGCACAGAAAATATAAATTGTCAGATTCCATGGCCTATCAGGCTATGTAAATAACCAGACTTTTCCGCCAATTTTCTTGCTAATGTTACCTCTGAAACCAAGCGACCCACCCCTTCAGTCGCAAACATCTCAATTTGTATTCAAGATAAAAGGGTATTTTTAAAATCGAAAGCAAGAGAAATGAACAGACATTAAGGCGATTCCAATAACCCCACATGCCCAAAAATTGACGAAGGCCTGATTCCACCGCATCATGGCACGTATATAAATATGTCTTAGATGAAAAGACTTTGGGCAGCTGTGTAATTGTACACGCCAGAACGGTCTTCATAGTTTTTACCCAGGTTGTACTGTCACTACCAACTGCTGTCATTGCAAGAAGCTCATCTGACATTATACATTGTACTGGATGATGTGGATGGAAACAGATGCTTGATGGAGTCTCTTCTCCTGGCAGTCTCTATATGTGAGGCAACGTGGTGGAATCAGTTTCTCGTCAAATTTTGGTCATGTAGAGTTATTGGTATCATCTTAAAGCTTGTTCACTTGTCTTTATTTGGAGGAAAACAATATCCATTTATCTTGAATACATGTCGAGATAATTGCGAATGAAGGACGTGGGGGGTCACCTGTTTTCAGATGTAAAATTAGCGAAAAAATGGCCGCAAAAGATTAGCTAATTCCTTAGTTTAAGAGTCCGTGGTAACTGACAATTTACATTTTTTTTGGCCTTTAATCAACGTTTTTCAGCAAAATCCATACAAAAATTAGTTGTTTAATAGGCATGAAAGGTGTTGAGCCAAAAAACAAAAATCTGATAAAAATTCACAAACCTGCGTAAAAATGCAAGTTTCTTCTTTTTGATTATTTTGACGAGCGCCCAATTCCACCACGCTGCCTCACATGTTTTAGTCTGTAGTCCCTGATCTTCAGCTTGTCCACAGTTGATTGACCAAGAATGTTTTCTCATGAGGGGTGGAAAACGCTCTGAAATTTGATTCTTCCCACAGAACAAAAGGATACAGGGAGGGAAAAAAACAAAACAAAACAGATGAATCAACTTGAAAATTCTTATGAACTTCATTCTTTGCAATGTTCACTCAGGTGATGCCAAAGCTCTCTTTTACCCCAAAATGAATTTTGTGGACAGATCTGAAATTCTACTGACTTTTTATTTCTTTTCTTTTACTCGGTCTTCAATCTTTTCGTGTTTGGCGGGTGCTCTGGTATGGTGTGGTTTGCTTCTTCTTTCCAATCAAACATCTGTTGTCTTTATCTCTCCTCCTTTTTTGTGTGTTGCTCTCTTGTAATCATCTCTAATCTTCGGCACTTATTATTATATGACCTTATTATGTTGCAAGTGCTGTAAAACACTAAAACAATTTTTCATGACTTATCATTAAAAAAAGGCTCTTAAAAAATGTTTCTCCTCTAGGTGTTTAAGCCTGATCGCATGAATGGTTTTGAAGTGCAGACAGAGGCTGATGCCATGCTGGAAAGACAGAAGAAGGACATAATGCCCAATCTGACCACACCTAGCAAGACTCCCTCAAAACGGTAAGTTTGTTTAAGCTAACACAGACGGATATTTGTGTGATGTCTTTTTCTTTGCCCTTGCCAATGCATTGCTGCATATATTTCTCTAAACAATCTTTGTTCTGACTTGATGGTGTTAGTCAGAAATACCCATTTCCAAAAGTTATGCTTGGAGCCAAGATTTGGATATAGAACTTTCTGATTGAAGTTCCTGTGTTAAAAAGTGATCCTGTTGAATGATGGTTGATGGGTAGAGTTCTTTGCTGTTGTTAAATAATGTTTGAATCTGCTTCTTAGCAGTTGCGTAAAATTGAAGTTCAAGAATTCGATTTTATTCATGAAATAAACAAAATTTTGTGTGAATGAATTTGACAACTTTGAGCAAAAATGTTAAAAATTTAATAGATGTGTTTGGATTGTTTCTGATTGCTCCCCACTGATTTTTTTTTTTTAGATGTGTCAAATGTCTGCTAATTTGAAGGGGTTCACAACCATGTTAAATTTAAATGTTATTGAAAATTTGTCATATTTGAGTCAGAGACTAAGTAAGTAAAACTATGTTTATATTGAAAAAGAAAGAAGGGGGATGTGTCTTATATGTATGAAGATTTGTTTCTGCTACATCCATTCATCTTGTTGTGGATGACGATAATGTCAAATTTCTGATTTGTTGTTTATCAGCATTGGGATCTGGTTTTACTCTCATGGATTTTATATATTTTTTTCCCTTTCTGGACAATTTCTCAGGCCAGAGTCTGGTGACATTGAACGAATTATGGACCCAACAGCTGTTGGATCTGTGGAGGACGACAACTGTTACGCTGTCTTTGTTTCCTACATTGAGATCTACAACAACTATGTCTATGATCTGTTAGATGACTTGCCTTACAACCCCATCACAGGTTACAAGTAAGTTGACCATTCTCTCAGATGAACTGCTTTTGAAAAGTTCAAAAGATTTTAACATTTTAAAGACAACTTTTGGCAAATTTGAGTTCTGACGATAAGCGGTTAGAGGGAAGGACTCAAACCAAGTTCTATATCTATGACTGAGCTGTATTTTGTAAGTATGTTACCTTCTCTTGAAGTAAAGAGAAAAATCAGATGACGTTGTTTTACACCCTCATATTTTTCAATCAACGTGGTGGTTGAATTTTTTTCTTTAAATTAAGCCGCAGCATGCTCTGTTCCTTTTTTACCAGTGGTCTAATTACTTTGACAATACTAAGTCTTATGTTTTGTATTTAGTTCTGTATGCTGAATGTTCAGTTCTTGTCGCATTAAGTGTGGTGCCTTATAAATACAGTTGAAATTGTTTTAAGACAAACAAAAAAAAAAACGGCCACCCATTGTCGAGTTAAAAAGTGATTGTCTTAGACGAGTAGTTACCTTGGACGCTGTCAGTGTAATATAGAAAAATGCTGGGGATGGAGAATGGTTATTTGTAAAGGTGATTGGCTTGGACAGGAGGCCGTTGGCAGGTTTGTCTGAACTGCCTCTCTTGAAAATGATAAATTGTGCCATTGTTGTTGCGGGTGGTTGGAGGTCTACTGGTAGGTCCTACGTCTTTTCTTTCCCTCCGTTGTGTCTGTCAATCTGTGTTGCTTTTATAATCGTTATTGTGTCAATGTGCTTCTCCTTATTCAAACTCTAAATCTCAAACTGCTGCTGTCCTTGAACTTTTTTCTTTTAGGCCGCCCCAGACAAAGATTCTTCGGACAGACTCTTCAGACAACATGTATGTCCACAACTGCACAGAGGTGGAGGTCAAACAACCTCAAGATGCTATAGATGTCTTTTATAAAGGTATTTTGATATCTGGAGTATTTCCCCATTTTCTTTTTCTTTCGTTGCCGTCAATATTGTAATGTGTTATGAATGATGTGTTTTGATTTTTGTGTTGTAGATAACTATGGACACCTTTTTAGAGAGTGAATTACTTTGTAGCATTCAATATTTGGTTAGAGTTATTCTTTTCATTATTAGTTGGCTTTCTGTTTTGTCTTGTTCTTCTAGGGATCAAAATTGCTTTTCAACTTCATTTGTTCAAATTGTGATTTTGTTTTTTTACATATATGTCCCATCTAAATGTAATTACTTCATTTTTCTCTGAGTGCATGAAATGATACTGCAGGTGGTTCAAAGGAGCCTCTGCAGGTCCTGTTTTGTTTATTTTCCTCTTATTTCGGTGTGTGTGTGTGTTTTTTTTTCTATGCACTAAATTACCTTGGTTTTGCTAATATCCTTCTTGTCACTTAAACAACTATTAAAGGTCAAAAGCGTAGAAAAGTGGCTCATACCACTCTGAATGCCGAGTCAAGTCGAAGCCACAGTGTCTTCAACATTCGTCTGGTGCAAGCTCCGCTAGACGGCAAAGGAGAGGAAGTGATTCAGGTTAGTATCCTATCATATACAATTTTTTTTGGTGCTAGTTTTGTTCTTTGTCGATGGCATCTGGCCAGGTTATTACATGAGAAACATGACCAAGGTAGTTGGAGGAATTATGGTTGTATCAGATTGTAGTAAACTGTCTCACATCCCATGGCCGATGTCGGGTTCCTGCTTTTCAGCTGGAGTGGTTCTATTGTCATTAAGATACTTATATATTTGCATAGTGGAAGTTATTTGGATTAAGCTTAATATGGAGGTATATTATTCAGTCTTTAAGTTAATGTAAACACAAATTTATATGAATGGGAGTCATTAAAAAAATTATCACTTGCATTGATGAATGTTTCTGAGAAATCAAACTTTTCCTGTATGATTTGAGGAGTAAGCATTGTCTTCTTTAGCTTGGAAGAAAGTCGTAAGAGTGTGTGTCTTTAAGCTGTGTTTTTTATGTTCATTTACCTATAGGACAGTGACGAAGAAGCTTATGTGAGTGCTTGTTTTGCCTGTTCATTTTTTGTTCAATTTGAATGCTCTCTTACCTGCATGTTTTATTTCTTCAAATTTTTTATTCTGTTGGGATTTTGTTTACTCCGCCGTAAATTTTCTAAAGATGTATGCTGTACTTTATAAAATGTTCACATTTGTTTGTTCCAGATTTTTCTGGCTACTTTCTTTTAGTTCTTTCGTTAAGCTGATATTTTTTATCAGAATCCTATTCGATTTATTTGACTGCCTTTGCATTCAAAGTTTTAAATTGTATAATTCCTTCGAATATTGATATTTATCAATTTGTTTTGTTAGCAGTAATTATATTTTGATATGGATCAGCAGCAGAAGGAAAAGTATATGTAACAATTTTAAAAGAATAATTTTTTTTTAAAGTTTGTCTCTTAACAAATCTAATAAACAGACATTTTAAAGGGAGAGAAATGGCAATGTCCTTTTAAAATTGAAGGGAGAAAATTAATTTTATATCCTTTGGAAGATGTAAGGATCAGTATGAACAACCAAGGTTTCTCAAAATCACCAAAATATGATCTAGCTGTTTTTGCTTTTGAAGTCTTCAAATAGATTTGTGAGAGGTTTGGTTTGGTTGTTTTTTTGTTTTTGTTTATTAATTTTTAAAAAATGTTATTGAGAAAACTGTTACTGCAATGTGTTCAAAGCTAGGAAACAAGGCATTTGATAATGGCTTAATGCTTACTTCTGTCACACTATGAATACTCATTTCAAAGGGTGCAAATCTGTTCATCTCGTTTTGTACAGCTATGTTGTTTGTAAAACTGAGAATTTAAAAGGTTCATAATGCAGAGGCAGATTATAATTATTGCCTCTGTTTGCATCAAGTCTATTTTCTTTAACAGAAATCCGAATTGTTTTTCCTGCATATGAGCTTGAGTGCATTTTCCGTAACTTTCTAATTAAAAATGCTTGGATGTTGCTGATGATAGGATTATTGTTCTCAGTTTCTTTTTTTAAAAAGCGGTCAAGGGGAAGAAACTGGTTCTAATAACAGGCTTTTTTTTGGGTTTTGTTTTGTTTATTTTTAATCTAGGTTTCAAAGGTCAATCTTCTCTTGTTTTCTTTTTCCTTTGGGGTTATTTTTTTGTACTGATCATGGACAAAAAAGGGTTATTCACTGCTCAAAAGTCTTTTGCCTCCTTTTGTATGCTGAACTATCCATTTAATGACATGTTTGCGTCTTGCATTGTCTTTCAGGATTCAGACAGGATCTGTGTTTCCCAGTTGTCTCTAGTCGACCTTGCTGGCAGTGAGCGCACCAACAGGACAAAGAATTCTGGCGATCGCTTGAAGGAAGCTGGAAATATCAACCAGTCTCTGATGGTGTTGAGGACATGTTTGGAAATACTGAGAGAAAATCAGACTGCTGGAAATAGTAAGGTAATTGGTTGTTCAATAGAATGAACCTGTATGAGACTTTGTTGAAATTATTTGCAGTGGCACAGGTGGAAAAGAACCTTTGCGTGCTGTTTTGCCCGGTTGATATTATACTGGGCCATGATGCCAGCGACCATGGTTCAAATTACCAACTGAGCGCACAGGAGTTTTTGGGTGCTTTTCAAGACTCTGTGCCTACTTGGCTCGGTCTCATTGGAAGTAGTATTTGATTTTAACCTCACCTCTTAAACAGCCCTATCCCTTTGAATGGAATGTTAAACCCATGCCATACCATATCATACCATTCCAAAAAAGATCCCTGTGTACCAAAGGTTTCAGACAAAAAAAGCAAACCAACTGCAGGATTGTTTAATTATACCTATACGAAGAACTTATTTCATTTTTGTTTGGCTTTGCTTTTCTCTTTCATACTCCAAAAAACTTATTTTCTTTTAGGGTTTTGGTGCTCATTGGTACGTTTATAGATGTGGGTTTGAGAACTATATTGTTGTGTAAATGGAATAGCTTTATTCATTTTTGTTTTTAGTCAATGTATTCATGGGGGGGTTAGATTTTGCAAATAATTCGTTTGCAGCTAACTGTGTTTTAATGTCAGGATGACGTGGTTTCATGTTAAAAATTGATTTTACTTTAGTTTATTTATTGTTCTTGTTTTCATATGAGCCACTTTTCACCGCTTTTTTGGATTGTTCTCTCTCTCCAGCTTGTCCCATATCGAGACTCACGGCTCACACATCTGTTCAAGACATTTTTTGATGGTGACGGGAAAGTACGCATGATTGTTTGTGTGAATCCGAGGTTCACAGAATATGAGGAGACAATAGTAAGTTCACCTTGTGATCAAACCTGTTTGAAAAATATAGTTTCCGTTGTTTTTGTTTACTGACATGTCATAAATCCTGCAAATGTTCTGCGGTTTCCAAAAACGTCTGTGTTTGTTTTGAAACGTTATTGAGTTTTCTGTGGGTGCCAGGGCTTTCTGTCGTTAACGCTGATCAGTGTTTTTGTTATTCAATTGTAACATTAGTATGGCAAAGTTTTTGCCTAGTTCCTTTTTTGTACTGATCCCAACCAACTCTCTTCTTTATGAACCAGTTTTTGTCTTCTATGTGTTTTTTCACAGCATTTGTTAGTAGATGGTTGGATGGTTCCAGTGAGAGGGCCTACTTCTTTTCTCTCACTCTATTGTTTGCGTTTTGCTTTTTCTGTCCGCTAATGATGGTTGTTGTGTTGATGGGCTTCTCTTTACTCAGACTTACTCAGACGGCACTTGTTTTCTCTTTACTCAGACTTACTCAGACGGCACTTGTTTTCTCTTTCAGTGCAGTAAATATGCCCTCCACATGTAAATGTGAAATGTTTTCCCTTCAAGTTTGGAAGAACCATGTAAAAGTGAACTTCAGCTTAACCACTTTGTTAACATATTCATGCTCTCTAAGTGGGTGGTTGATGGGTGCTCTGGTGTGGTTTCGTATCAAACAACTATCGTTTTTTTTATCTCTTTTATTTCTATGTTACTGTCTAGTAACACCTTATATGACCTAATTTTGTTACTAGTGCCGTAAAAGTCCTACTTAAAGTGAATGCTCTCTTAATTCCGGGGTTGGGGTTCAAGCCTCAGCCACATCCGACGTGTCCTTTGGATAGGCATTTTACGCAAATTTTCTATTTGGCTCTGTCTTTTTGGAGATGGACGTTGAAGTCAGAGGCCCTGTCTCTTAAATAACCCCTTAGTGTTGATAACCCTGTACCATTTCATGTTCAATTTCAATCTTATTACAAATCTTTCTGTCTGACCTGTGGGTGGTTGGCGGGCGCTCGGGTGTGTATCTCCCCTCCTTTTTTATGTTTGTTACTCTCTTGTAACACCTCTAATCTCCTGGCGCTCATATGACCGTATGCAGTTGCAAGCGCCGTAATACTCTTACTAAAACTTAAAAAATCTCTCTGACCTTTGCAGCATGTGATGAAGTTTGCCGAGATGACTCAGGAGGTTCTCATCACAAAGTCTGTATCCAACAACAAGTTTGATATGGGCCTCACACCAGGCAGGAGACGCTTACATCAGCATCAGATAGAAAATGGAAGGCTGGAAGGTAATGAAAAGTGTTTAGTGTAGCATGAGAGTGATTTTTATGTCTATTGCTATTTTGTTTTATCATTCCATTATGTTTGATAAGTACAAGGAAGGAAACTTTGCATCATGAGTATAGGAAACTTCAGGTTTCTTCATCTTAGAAGTTTACAGACAAAAAAGTCCAAACAAACCTTGTGATGATACTCCTGATCCACTGGTCTTGTTTTATATTTATGAATACTTAAAAGTAAGTGTTTTAGAGAGATTTATTGTTTAATTTGACTGTTTCATTACATGCCGCTCGGTAAGTATGTGATAGTCTTTTGATTATCTTGTAATGGCAGTTTTTTCCCCCCTTGTACAAAAAAAAATATGGTCAGTTCTCCACAATTTTCTTCTTGGATGAGGAGGCCGAACATTGTTTTGTTTAAACTTGGCTGGATGTTATCATTTTGCAGGCATCGATTTTTTTCCCACTTTTTTAAAAAGGGGGAGCGCTTTAATGTAGTTGGGTTCTGAAAAAAGAAGCTTATTAAAGTCAATGGCTTCTTTTTGGTCAGAATATCCAGTATTTTTGTTCTGAAATTTTATCCCTTGACGGTGAAATAGTAGTGTTCCCATAGAGTCATGTCTTATAACTTACATGTCTTATAACTTACATGTCTTATAACTTACATGTCTTATAACTTACACAAGGTCGATTTACTTTGTGCTCGCTGCTACAAATCTTGGCAGAAAAGAATTATTTTGATTGGAAAAAGTCTTGATTGTGTCCATGGACAGCATTTTTAATGAATACATATTTGAAAATCCAGAGCACAAAAAAAAAAAGGAATATATTTTTGATAGTCTATTTATTCGTTTTTAGCAGTCATCATAGGTGAGAAATTCCAGAAAAGTTCCGGATGGACCTGAGCATATGCCTGACTGTGACTGTGACACCCTTCTGTGCAGACCTGTGTGTCATTCGTGTTTTTGTAGTTGCACTCTCAGACTTGTAACTGTAAGGTCGTGGGTTTGAATTAGCCTGACGTGTCTTTTGGAATTTTCCTTACTTCACCCAGGTGGGAATAGGTACCCGGCTATAGACAGTGAAAGATGTTATCACCAATCTCTTTAGCTTGCTTGCTACTACTAAAGTATCAGTCAGTGCACACCAAGATATTTCATGTATTAATTTCACAGTATATACTTATATACTGCTATAACTATGCTTTTCCTAATTTCAGAAGAGATGGCACCTCACCGTCCTCAAATAGACTTCTCAATTGGACCTCCTTTCCCATTACTTGAGGTAAGCTATCATTTTGCTGAAATCTTCACAGATTCTGGTCAGATTACAGCCGTTTTTTTCTAGACCTGCATGTTTGCCGACAATCGTCTGAAATCCGACAATCGCGACCCGGCCCGTGAGCCGGCCGATGCTATCGCTAGGCCCACCTGTATCAGTCAATGTGCGTAGTGCGAGACCTGGCCGACTGCCAGTGCCTCCCTTTTTCTCCCGTCGGCTTTGTCGGCACTTTCGTTTTCGTGCCGACGTCGGCGTTTCCGACATAATTGTCGAGCGGCCATTTTGAATTTCGTTTGTTGACTAATTCAATTCTTGTTCAGATCGTGTGGATTCATTCAAGTCCGACTCACTTGTTCTAATAGAATCTAATATCTAGATCTAGATTTATATAGATCATTATAGACCTCAATGGAGGATCATATTCCAATTCTATTGTGTCAAACCCTATCATAGGTTGTGCTGTAATATTAATGTTGGTAAAAAGCATTTCATCAGGTGCGTGAATTATTTATTTATTTAGATTCTAGACTCGGCTGAGTCCGTCTGTTCGGAATCGGGTGCGGATATCTAGTTCAAGGCCTATTCCTATTCACTTGTTCTACAAGATCTAGATTCTAGATCTAGATTTATTTAGATTTCTAGATCTAGATCTATATGGAGGATTCATATTCCAATTCTATTGTGTTATTGTATCAAACCCTATTTATAGCAATGTAGATGTAGGCCATATTATGCTCCTTGTTTGTTTTGGAGTGTGCAGACCTGCCACTCATCCCGATTTATCCCGATTTTTTCCCCCAAACCTCGAGCATCCCGATTTTCCCGATTTTGGTCGCCAGTATCCTGATTTTTTGTTTTTGCGTCTGTTGCGTCCGATTCTTAGAGAGAAAAAATTTCTGCAATCTCTTTTGCTTGAAAGCACCGCTTGGACTTTTTATCGGCAGGAACTTACAACGCTATTTTCTAAAACATCAATGCCGGATCCAGTAGGGGCCTAGTTGACTTACGCCCGTTATTTCGAAGAAGTATCGATTTTTAACTCCGATTTGGATACTCTCTAGATCTACTTTCGCTTTTCTTACCCAGAATTCTCCAACAATTATGACATAGGCCTAAAAATAATCTATTCGTTGTTCTGCCTTTGCAATTTAAGCAAGCTTCGTCCGAGTTCTGTTTAGTCGGGCCCATCATCAAGACCTGTTAGTGGAACTTTGAAACTTTCGTTCGCATCACGTGACATGACCTCGTACGTGTGACTAGTGTGAGTAACGCGTGTGTCGGGGACCGCAGGTTGTCGAGGTCAATAAAGTTCATTCACACTGGTCGCGTTTGTCGAGGTGTTTTTCGGGACTTAGCCAGTATGGGACGCCCGGGGGGAGTGGGTGGGTGTATTTTTTTTTTACACTTCGGCTTAAAGTGCTTGCCGTGATACGTGTAGGCTACTAATTGAGGATGAAGGAATAGGCTTAAGAAAATAATCGTAAATGAACGACCTTGGCGTGGGGTTTTTTTTGGGGGGGGGGGTGGTGCCTGATACATGCGACTGAAGTTGTTACTTTATGGAAACGCGCGCCTTTTGCATGGATGATTAGAGTTACATGTATGTGTAAGCTATTGTCATATTGTCAAGACTACGAGAGTTTCAGCATCTCTGCAACCTGCGCTCCCCCCAGTCTATGACTATCCAGCTCAGACTCGAGTACATGTGACATGCTCTCTTTCAGTTTTTTCCTCTACTTTGAGGCCCAATGGGAACTTATTTCTGCGAAAGTTTTATCTTGCGTGCTTGCCTCATAAAAGGGAACCGGGAACCCCCCCCCCCTCTTCCCCTTCCCCAGTGCCCCTTATGACTGATTTGCCATTGATCCCAATTTTTTTCACCAGATCCTGATTTTTTACTTTGAAATCCTGATTTTTAGATTTCATAGAGTGGCAAGTCTGAGTGTGGTTTTTAATTAAAAATTTTTAAATTTTATTTTGGACTTGTGCTGGCCTTTTTACATGGGGCCCGTTGCAGGTTCTTTTTTGGGGTAGGGGTAGGGTTAGGTCACTTTCTTTATTGTGTTTGTTGGGGTGGTCGCTCGTTACTCAGAAGTCCTTCCTATGACACCCACAAAATTGACAAAAAAGCTCTTTGGGGAGGGGGGGGGGGGTGCGCAAAATTTTCAGACAATCTGGTTGAGGCTCACATGCAGGTCTATTTTTGTTGTGTACCTTTCTTTTAGTCCTGTTAATTTTTTATTGTCATGAGCAGTTTCTTTGGAGTCAGTGGCTTTACTGACTATCTCTGAAGAGGTGCTGTAATCATTTCTCTTTATCCTCCCCCCCCCCGGCATACTTATATACCTAGCTGCTGCTACAACCAGCTCCAAGATAGGCAGGTTTTCTTAGTTGCTCTGACCATTTCCTGTTCTTTGGGACCTGCACATTGTTAAATCTGTACATGTTGATCTTTGAACATGGATCTTTTAAATAATTGATTTTGTTATCATCCTAAAGAGAATGAAATGTCTCGCTATATTGATTCTAGTCTAAATGTATGACTGATAAAAAAGGCTTGCTTGTGTTTATCTTGTCCGTGGCACTGCACAGTATGCACATTTTATTTTTATCCTTGTAGACATGTGAAAAAGAAAGTTCTCTTTTCACCAGCTGGTCACCCCAACTGATGACTTGACCATTTGTAATATTGGCTTGTGTTTGGATGAACGGTTGAGGAGGAGGCAGCTGATGATCCTCGACTATGAGCAGTCATGTGAGTATTTTGAGCTGACACCAGCTGCGCTTTGATATTTCTTTTTGTTGTTGTAAAAAAACATTTAGAATCAGTCTATGAAGTGACTAATCTGCATTTCACTTAATAATAATAATAATAGATTGCTTTTATATGGAGCTCTATTCCATACTTGACCAGTGACAACAAGCTGTGGAAACCATATTACTGATGTTTGAATGCTCAAATACATTTTTGCACCCATCATATTGATATAAATATGAGGGTCACATATTGTACTTTCAGGATCCTGTTCTATGGTTTAAGGGGAACTAATTCTCTGAATAGATGTCTTCTGGCAGTTCCTTGTTGCAACCAAACTGGACTTGTCAAGATTTGTGTAGGTGATCGATCAAACTTGCTCTACTTTGCTCTCCCATCTCTTGTTATTTTGAGTGGGTGGTTAAGGGGTGCTCTGGAGTGGTTTTCTCTTTCTTTCCTATCCAACAGTCGTCATCCTTATCTCTCCCCCTTCTTTTCTTTATGTGTTAATCTCTAGTGACACCTCTAATCTTGGGCACTCATATGACCTAATTGTGTGGCAAGTGCCGTAAAACTCTTACTGAACTGTTGTCCTGATGCAGGTGCTGAATTCCGAGCACAGCTTGTTGATTTTGAGAAAGACTATAACTCTCTGCGTAACAAATGTTCTGAGCTGGAGGAAAGAGCAGCCATGAGGGAGAAGGAAGCTAGTCGCATCGAGAGCAAGAACCGCAGCCTGGAGCGTAAGCTGGAGGAGATGAGTCGGGTTCTCAAGGACCTGGAGAAGGAGAATCAGTTGTTGGGCCTTCAGGTGAGATGTCTTTCTTGGTTTTATTGTTTGTTTGTCTGTCTGTCCGTCTATCTTTGTCTCTGTCTCTCATTATCTCGGCCTTCAGGTGAAGTGTCTGTCCCTCTTTATCTGGGTATACAGGTGAGATGCCTCTCTTGTCTGTCTGTCTGTCTGTCTGTCTGTCTGTCTGTCTGTCTGTCTGTCTGTCTGTGTCTATTTCCCTGGAGAAGATGGGTCAGGCTCTTAAAGGTCTGGAGAGAAGTAGAATCTGGTGAGATTTCTCTGTTTGTCTCTCTGAAATGGGCAAGTCTCTCAAGGATATGGAGAGTGAAATGCCCCTCTTTCTGTCTGTCTCGTCTCTTTCTTTCCTTATTTTCGACCGCCTTTCTCTCTCTTTCCTGACTGACAGAAATGCCCCCATTCTCTTCCTTGCTTTCTCACACATAATACACACGTCAGTTTGCTTTTTTAATACCTTGGTAGGCTTACTCTCTTAAGAAAAGATTGTTTGCTTTGTTTTTAGATTATCATGTTTTTTAAATATTTGTTCTACACATTGTCTTGTGTGTTCAGGTTCAGGACAAAGCATGGAAAATCCAGGTGGAGAAAAACGCCAAGGAAAAGCTGAGATCTGATTATAAAAGCCGCCTTCAGATGAACAACCAGGCATGGGAGAAAAATATGGTATAGTGTTTTTTGCTTCCATTGTTATTGGCTTCGTTCAACTTGATTGATTTTTTTTTTCAATAGTCTAGTGTTATGTATACAGTACATATGGAACTTACAAAATAGTGGAAGTAAAAATGGTTGTCTTGTCATAGAGGCCGTGGAATTGTCTGCTTATCAGTACATTGTGTTCCTCATGGGCATTCATAATTGAAAAATTGCTGTGTGTGCTGCAAGAAAAGGTGTGAAACAATGATTTGAATTATGAGTATATTTGTTCATTTATTTCTGAAATTGGCTCTTGCTTGCATGCACCAGTATGTATTTCTCAAATTCTGTGATGTGATAGGTTGGATTACTGTGGTCTATAAGAAAAGCGGAGATACAAGTTTTACTCAAACAAAATAGACCTTCTCCATTTAAGGACTGAACTCTCATCTTCTGCACGGAACAGTGGAATGCCTAATCAGTACGCCACAGACACTGATTCTTCGCATAAGTTTTGCGACATATAAATAAGGGTACTTCGTGAATCTATTTTGAATAGTTGTTTATGTACCTATTTCATGATATCAGGAAAAAACTCGACGTCAGATGGAGATAGAAGCAGAGAACCAGCTGGATGAGCGGGACAGGAAGTTGGACATGTTGCGGGACATTGTGAACGAACAGGACGCTGTGGTTGCCACACCTCGTACCAGGTCAAGGGCGGGGCAGAATCCCACACCCAAGCCCAGGACCCACACAACCCCAGCGTCCATTCAGAGTGCAAGGTACTGACTTTTGGCTTGTTGTCTTATTCATCCCATTTTCTCCATATGTACTGGCAATTTAAAAAAAGATAGCCATTTTTTAATTGTGTAAAAAATCTATTCTTTTTAGTCCTCAGGCTTTTCTTCCATGTGAGAAATGATAGGTACTCTAAAAAGTAGGTCGTGTTTTGAAAACAGCATTTTAGTGCTCCAATAAGTGTTCACAGCACCTGTGTCAAAAAATAAAAAACTGTCTTTTTAATTTGACGAGGTATACAGATTTTTCCTTATTCTTTGTTTTAAAAAAAATGAAATTTAGGTCGGTGTTAATTTAAAGCTGCAATATCATTTGATCATTGTCTCCCAAGAAAGATGGTAGGTTTAACTCAACATTGGAGAAATCGAGCCATCAACATGCTCTGTGTGTTTCTACTATTTCCAGGACTCAGGACATTCAATGTCGATAGAAGAACAGATGTTGAATGTCCTGGCAACACTTCCAGATTTTGTAACAAAAGGGTTCTCCAACATAGTGGGAAAAAACCCCTTCCGGAGATAGATAATTTAATGAACTGGAAACTTGTTTTGTAATGTAGCATAAAAATCTTAGTCCATCTGAGATAAGACTTAGCATATAATAGCTGAGCATTTTGTAGATCAGAAATGAGACATGAACAGATTGATATGTCCTCTGGATCTCTTAATGTTTAGTAAAAGGGAATAGAACTCAAGAGATCACTAATATTGTGGCAGGATTATGGCTGTATATTCTCATGACTTTATCAAATACTGTTATGTGTATGGCATGTTTTTGACCAGAGGTACTTTATGCCCAGGTCGGAGATAGACATGTCTTCCATCGGAGCCAGCACCATTGCGTCATCTGCCCGTGCTGCCGCCGCTGGACGTGCGGGGAACACTCGTGTCCCGCCTCGCTCAGCTGTCCGGATCCCTGCTGCTAAGTCAATACCCAACCTGTCACAAGTGGGGCTCACACCCACTACCAGCAAAAGTGTATGTTTTAAAACAAAATTTGTTGTAGATTTGTGTGTATTGTAAGGCTGGTAATTTGGGATTTTATTTTATCCTCCCAACTTTTCACTCTTTTTTTTTCTAGGGCAGTTTAGTCCTCATGAATAAAGGAGAAATGCTTGGAGCTTTTTTGACAGGAAAGAGATTTCAATTATCCTGATACAAAATGAGAAATTTTGCTTGAAATACAGTCCAGCATGCACACAGTGAACAGATTTTCATTGTTTTTAAAAGACGTAAGCAGCTAAACTTCTACAAAACAAAAGATTTCCTTGTTGCACCAGTGCTTCCTATCTTCTATATTTTTACGTAAATCCATACTTTCTGACAGTTCCGTACTTGCTCCCCCACCATTATCAACTCCATCCGTAAAAAATGGGATAGCGTCTTGTATAAAAGTAAGTTACGGATATTTTCAGTAATTCTGTCGGCAATAAAAAAAATAATGTTATAGGGACCTGCCAGACTGGGGAGTATGAGGAAACTGTAAACTGCCCAGCGAAAGACCCTTGAAGATACATAAAGTTCTCGAATATTTGAAAACGAAATCGGATAGGTCAGTAAATTTATTTTTGCCTGTCTTGTTGTGATGTTTGTTCGGCTTTTCCCAGTCCGAGAGTACGTTTCACTCGAACAGGTGGCTATGGCAGCAGGCGGAAGTGTATGTGACACTGAGATTCGATCAAGTTCTACTTCCGCTTTCGTTGCCATTCAGAAATTTGCTGGTGATAGTCTGATACCGCAACATTTGTGACATGCAGGTCGTGCATTATAAACGCTGTGTCACCGCGCAAATAAATCAATATTTGTCACTGTGTTGTCACTTGTAAAAAAAAAAAAAGAAAGAAAAGAAAATACAAGTGTCGTCCGATTTTCAGCTTGTCGGGCTCATTATCGTGACCGGCCAGTGAACCTGCGCGCATTCGCATCACATGCTGCAGCATCGTGTGAGTGTGAGTACCTGCGGTTATTGGGGTCGCCAAAGTTCGTTCAAAGTCTGAGCTTTGTGAAATTTGACCCTGGAATGGGGGGAATTTTTTTTTTTTTTAAAGATAGACTTGGAGGTGCTGAGGGCAACTTGATAATAGGTTTTAGAATTTTGGTTAGAGCTCTCTGCAAAGCACGCTTTGGTGCAGGCCTTTTGTGGAATTGAAACCCACCATACCTTGTAAGCCTTGTTATTGAACTACAGTGTTTCATTGGATGGGTGATAGTGATAGGAAATTATTACTAAATTTTAGATTTCTGTTCAAGATTGGCAGATCTTCTGTGTCGCTGCATGTTTCTGTCCCTCAGTTCTTACAGCTCTCACACTGATAGGTCTACTTGAGCCATTGAATAATCCTGATTTTAAAAAAATAGGCGTTATAGGTTGTTGGTATTCTTTTAGGGTCCCAAATGCCATTTTAGGGGCTCTCGTGGCCTAGAGGTTAAGATGTTGGCCTCTCATTCAAAGGTCCCGGGTTCGAATCCTGGTAGCGACTGAAAAATCTTCTTCTCTAAAATTGTCTCCTTTCACCTCCTTTCCTGCTCTCTAGCAATGTTCTGTTGTCTGCTTTCATTTCCACTTTCTGCCCCCACCCCTTCACCTCCTTTGCCCCCTCCTCTGGGCTCCTGACTCTTTCTGCAGCCTTTCTACCTACTACTCCTTGGCTCCTCCTTACTGCTGTCTTTCTGCCACACCCCTGATCTTCGGATAGGAAAGATTTACACCTAGCCTTCTCGGACAAGGGCGAAAAATCTCGGACGGCACGTGTGCAAGTTGCGCACGCTAAAGATCCCTTGGTGGTCTAAAATCGATAAGAGTAGGCTTCGGCCGCCTCCAGGGCAAAATTCAAAATTTCCTACCAACTGAAAATATTTGTCCAGCGCGCTCATATGACCTTATGCAGTTGCGAGCGCCGTAAAACACTTTACAAAAACAAAATACAGTGGAGTCCACTTAAAACGAGTCCGGAAAAAACGGGAAGTCTGTTATAAAGACATTATTCTGAAACCCCGTTTTTTTCTCTTCTTTACCTTTGTAAATAAAATACTGCTATAGCGTAATCAGACAAACATGCGAGTCGGCTATAGCGGAATATTGCTGCTGCTGTGCACAGTGCGTAGGCCAATTATACATAATTAAAAAACCTCGCCAGTTGAGAAACTTGTTGGTGATCTAGCGAAACAAAGAAAGGAGAGCCAATGTGTGTCAACAATGAAGGCTAGAGCGACTGAGTAGGGAGGTTGTGGTATGCGCAGACAAGCAGAACGCATCGCGTGATAGGCCAGTGTAAGCCTAGTGTAGACTATCAAGGCCTACCATGCCTCTCACTTCTCCGATGCGGGGATGGAGAGGTCACCTCAATGTGATGGGTGGAGCGAATGAGTGACGTGCGCAAGCTGACGGAATGCACCACAGGGTGTGGTGGGGTAGGGGAAAACACAGCGGGCGAGTTACCCGAGAGTCCTTTCTTTCTGATCGCCAACGCCGAGCTGTCAGTCAACATCGCTAGATCTAGGGCTAGAGAAAGAAACCTGATTCGATTTTTGATCAAGTAAGACCCAAAGGTCATGTTGAAACCAAATCATCATCAGGGGAGATATCAAAAGGAAATAAACAGAACCGCAAAATCATAGATTTGGCCTATTTTACAGTCTCTCTTGAATTTATTGCTGGATCCCTTATAGCGAGAATCCTGCTATAATGGACATTTTGCTCTGGTCCCCTCCCTCTCGTTATAACAGGATTCCACTGTACCATTTTTTACCCTCTAAAAGTGCTAAATTTTAATTTCTTCGGGGGGCTTCACTCCCTCAACCCCCACCGGGACGCTGTCCCTGAACCCTGCACGATTTTCCTTACTTTTCATCTTCAACTGTTGGAAGCACTATGCCCTCAGTGAGGAATTTGTTTGAACAAATGACTATGTGTTCTTTACACCTGCCAGTTGTTCTGACTTTCCTTTGCAGGAAACATAAATCTTTAAATTAAAAAAAAAGTTTTATATAATGAAAATTTGCTCTCTATTCGGTTTTCTGCAGAGACAGCCTGTGGTGAACCCTCGGTATCACCGGCGGTCCAAGTCATCGGGCAATGCTGAAGTCTGGCTGGAGCACAAGCCGGTGGACTGCGTGGACACAAGTAAGATCTCGTTTATAGGCCCATCATTATCAGGGTTTGTACTGTTCTGTGACATAAGTATGGACTGAGGGATTGGGTTGTAGTAGTTAAAGATCACTAATTTGTCTTCATGGGATAGGAGGTGGACACTGTATTGCAGTCCGCTCTTTCTGCTCCTTTTGCAGCATTTGTTGATATAGCTCATGTCTGACTCTAAATGTGTATTTGTCAAATTTGACTGAACACTTTTTTTTTGTTTCAGACTATTTTATTTGCAACTGTAATTTCAGTTGGGGATACTGTAATAAATAAAAAGAATATACTACACAAAATTTTGAGCTATTTTGGAAAGTACGTAGAAAAAAAAAAGACATTTTTTCTGCAAAGAAGTGTTTGAACTAATTTGGCGGATGGATGATATGCATCTCTTTATTCAATCTGCAAAATTTTACCTTGTCCAGCCCTAACACGAGGATTCTGTGACTGATGGGAGTGTCCGTATTTGATGTGTTTCAGACACTCTGATGCAGCCTAAGATGACCAAGAAGAAGTCTGTGTCCAAGCTGGACGTGAAGGACACTAAATCAGCCTCTAAGTACGTCTTGACCCACCAGGAGCAGGACTCCAGTGATGAGCTTGTCACCAAACTTGTTAAGGTAACCGGGTTTGCTGTTGAAAAAAAAGTGCTGTTTCTCAGTGAATTTCAAAATGCAGTGGACAGCTGAATTTTGCTCCTGAGAGAATGAGGGTGGCCATTCTCCACTCAAGGTCAAAATTGACTTGTTACTGTCATGTCTCTTTGTCAGTGAAAAGTCCAACACCTTGTTGTCCTTGGGATTGAAAGTAAAGAATTTAATTTTGTTTACAACCTGAGATCCTGAAGTGGGGGGTGTCCCCCTTGTGCTGTGTTGCTTGGATTATGAAATTGTCATTTTACAGACAGTCCATTGGTGACTTGATCTATCAATGTGTAAGAGGTCATTGATGTTCATTGTATAATTTGTATGATTTAGTGAATCTCCTCTAATTGTGTAGGATTTGTTACACTATCAGAGGTCCTGTTCTATCACATACAGCGCGTATAGTTTTTTGTTGTTTTAAAATATATTTTTCGATAAAAGACTACTGCAACATTACAAGAATTTGTCAGATAATTTTATGTGGAGTCAGTAGTCTAGTGGTTAGGTCACGGTACTCGTAATTGTGAGATTGTGGATCTGGGATTTGATTGAGGCTCGACTCAGCCAGATGTTGTGCTTTAGGAAAGGCGCTTCACAGAAATTTTCCTCCTTTACTTAGGTGTGGATGGTTACCTGGCCACCGACAGTTAAATATCTTGTCTGTGTGATAGTGTTTTAGCTCTTGTAAAATAACAGATTTCTCTGTATGTTTCCAAGAAAGTTGAAATTGTTTCAGAATGCGCTCTGGTCTTTTGGGGTATTAATATAGATTGTAAAGTGCAGAGACCTGGTTGTGAATGGATGGTTGGCAGGTGCTCTGCTGTGGTTTGCTCTTTCTTTCTTATCAAACATATATCGTCCTTATCTCTTCTCCTTCTTTTCTTTGTATGTTATTCTTTACTAACACCTCTAATTTTTGGTACTTATAAGATTACCTATTTGTGTGCAAGTGCAGTAAAACTTTTATCATACCAAAACTGACAGAGCTTGCTGTTGCAGTTTAGCAGGAATTTGCGCTTTGCAGATGCTATTTATTATTATGCTGATGAGTGGAAGGTGTTGTAACCAAAGCAGTTGACATTGTGCCTTCTGGTTCCAGGGTGATGTCATCAAGACCCCAAGTGGAGGGTCGGCCGTTGTCTTCAACGATGTGGAGACGCTCCGGCGACTTTCCCCGGGCACCAGGAAGAGGAGGAGCCCCACCACACCCATGTACGACCCTGAGATGGAGTGGACAGACACGGAGGACCGTTGCTCGACGGCTGTGGAGGGACACAAGTAAGTCCTCGTGGCTTAATCGCTGAGTCTTGTAGGCTTGTTGGACTTGTTCTGGAGGCAGCTGCTGTTTCTTTTGAAAGCGTGATCTTGGGTGGAGGAACCACGCGCAGTCGGGCATGGATAACTCGAACACATCAAGGATTTACAAATGTGTTATACACGGACACATCTATAATTCAGGTTAACTGATGACAAAAGATTAAATTGATATCAGTCTGAAAATGATAAAGTGTATGAGCTCTCCGTGATTTCAAGTTTTCCGTGTATTCATATTATATGTACTCAACTGTATATATTCATGTGTGTGTTTGTCAGGATGTCAGAAAAACGTCAGTGGTAGTTTGTTCGGGTTTGGGGGGGGGTGTGTGATATGTTTTTAGTATTTGTTCCATTTTGCATCTTTTTGGTGCTGGCGTTTTTGTTATTGGATTTATTGTTCATCTCAAAATCCAGGCTGTAAATGTTGACTATTTATAAGGTTTTTATTATTTTTGTTAACACTTTGCGGTCACTTGGCGCTATAATGCGACGATGAAAATTATCCGTTCCGGTCACCCTGCTCCGGGCCCGACAAGTCCGTTGCAGTCACTCTCCTAGCTGGGTGACCAGATGGGATATTTTGTACTGCTGGCTGTGTGACTGCAAAGTGTTAATGTATGGTCTTTGTGACATTTTTTTCCTTCTGTTTTGCTGGAAATTTCCATACTAATAGAAACTTTTGTCCCTGTCCACAGACGCAGTAAAACAACAAACCTCTAGATAGGATAAGACTGAGTTACTTCATCAAGGGTAGGATAGGACTGGACTGGCATACGTTACTACCAGAATGTTACACCTGACGACAGCGGAAGTTGTTATCGATCCAGAACGACAGCGGAAGAGAAACATTGGCCATCCCCCATTACGTTATGAGTCTGCCGTTTGTCTACGGTTTTTATAATAATGATATTAAAACTACTTACCCGTGTACAGCAAATATATCCTATCCTTGTGGAGGCTAAACAAAGTAATCAATGTGTTCTGTATATATAGCTAGTAAACCCTTGTTTGTTAGTGCATTATTTGGTCTTATAGATCAGACTAGTTCTTTTTATCCCGTGGGTTTCTTGTGTTGGAACAGATGTTTTTTTCCTTTTTGTATAGATCTGTTCTTGCTCTTCTCCTCTCCTTTCCACTGTGAGCGTACATACCATCTAGAAATTGTTTTCTGTCTGGCGTTAGGATGGACCAAGACTTGATCAGTTTTGCTACGAAACGAGACATATCTGGTTTTAATAAAGATTTTTGTTCTTCACCCATTTACTGAGCAACTTTGTTTTTAGAGTAAACATGATGTTAGGCTTCCTTGACATTTGTTGTATAATGAAATCTTTGTTTGATTCTTCTCCTTTTAATTGATGAATAAATCTCCACATGCTTGTGAAAAAACATAACATACAGGACCTATCCACATTACTATGATTAGGAAGGGAAAGAGCCGCTGACAAATGTTTGTTGACCACAAGCCAAGTCCCATTACTCGGGGAAAGAACTTGATATGTCGTGATTTGTCAAAAAGGGTCTTCCGCTTTTGTCTCGTTGTTTTCTCTAATGAGGAAAAATTGCGTTTTGAGGAGAGAAAAAAATGTGCCTATGTGCCTCACTTTTCTAGATACGATGGTCCTAGTTTCAGCCAAACTTTTTTCGTGAAACTGTTCACTGATAGTGACATGAATCAAAGATTTTAGCTTAGATTCATGGTCACAATCTTAAGGGTTTCTGTGAGTCTGATGGTTCAAAGAAATTCATGTTTTCACATTAGTGTCTGTGGTGTATTGGTGTGGCTCTTTAATGTTTCATGCAGAAAACGTAAGTTTGATTCTTGAGCAGGGAAGTTATTTTATCAAGTACATATCGTGGGTTGTCTATGACAGACAACATTGAAGCACAGCCCACTGTCAAAAATGATCTACGATTATGTCGATGTGGGTGTAAACATTTACAGTAATTACAACCATGTTTGCATTTTTCAAAGCGCTATGGCTACTTTGTGTTGCTATAGTAATGTGCTTGACCAGTGTGAAAGAACATCAGAGACATAAATGATTTGCCACTGATTTGTGGGTGTTTCTTAAAAATAGAGTGTTTTGATAACTATGGCAGCTGTCAGAAAGAATGGTGGAAATGGCCGCTGAGTAAACAATTACAGTGGAGTTTGTTTAAACTGAAATCTGCGGGATGGCCCGATTTTCTTTTGTTTAGTCAGTGAGCAGATTTTTTAAAAAGATGGATCATTGTTTTCAGCAATCAGCTGAGGCGCGTGGCATGTGATTGTGATGCACAATCAGGATCAAAGGCTTTTGATGCGTCCTGCCAGTTTCTTCTGTTTTTACAAAAGTCAAGCCGATAGCCCCATCTTCACACTCTCCCTTTTTTTTTCCTATCTTGACAATGATGAGCCCGGTGAGACCTCTTTTATCATGCTTTTGTCTGTCACGTTTATCCTTTATGAACCTACACAACCCTAGTTTTTGACATCAAGAGAGAAAAAATATCCATGGCCATATAATATTATTAGGAACTTTTAAGCCAGATTACTCAGTTTTTATTTGTTAATTACCAAAACATAAGACTCAAGCTAGTGGATGGGCAGCCCTGTAAAAGTAAAAGATGTGGTTTCACACATTCATCAGTTTGTGGTGCAGCTGGTACTTTAGGCTAGGCAACAACAAATTTGCTTTTGCAACCTCTCCTGTCTACAGACTAAAAAATAACATTCTTAAAAAAAAAAAAGTTATGGCTATTTTCACCCTTCCTTTTGACCCAAATTTGAGACAAATACAGATAGAATTTGCAGTGGGTGGTTGGCGGGTGCTCTGGTGTGGTTTGCTTCTTCTTTCCTGTCAAACATCTATCGTCCTTATCTCCCCTTCTTCTTTTTTATGTTTGTTACTCTCTTGTAACAGCTCTATTCTTCTGGCGCTCATAATATGACCTTATGCAGTTGCGAGCGCAGTAAAACTTCTACTAAAACTCAATTAAAGATTTTGCAGGGTTTATTTTTGTCATTTTATGAGGTGGGAAAATATAGCACATGTTGTCACTCGCTTTAAGCTAATAATAGAAAATCTTCTCAGCATGCTGTTGTGGATGAAATATATTGCTGGGATGTCAAGTTGTCATCTCATGTGCAGTAAACTATTTTGGGTAATGTATTGTGTAAATATGGAAAGTCACAATGCAATGGGAGTTTCCATTCATTGCTGCCCATGTGGGAATCTCATAATGGCCACAGTTGTCTTTGTCGCAATAACTTTTTTCTTAATATGAGACATTTGTTCACATTTCGTTTTTTTCTCTTAATGTACTTTAAGAAGCGTGAACAGTGTATCATTTGGTGATGAAGTGTTTGTGGGCCTGTTGATGAGGCTATCAGAAGTTTTTTCAGCCTGTCATTTGATGTCCTTTCATTATTTCGATAGGCGATGGTTAATTGTTCACTGAAAGGATGTCACTGTGTTGCACTGTGCCGGAGACAAATTTCACAAACTTGACGTGCTTCGATTTAACTGATTCTCTGAGGGTTTATTTGGAGAGTTCCACTAGTGGTAGGTCTTATTTTTGTCTTTTCTAACTCCAGTGTTTTTGTTTGTTCTTGTTTTTTCCCTGCACTAATTTACTGGTCTGGAGACCTCAGTGCTTTCTTGTCCTATCTTCATTTTTAATAACAGTGAAAACTGTTCATAACAAAGAGTGAGCTGAAGAAAAAGTCACATTTGATGATTTTCACTGTTAAAAAAATGGAGAGATAGCACATGAAAGCAGTGAGGTCATGTACTGTATAGCTTAAAGTTGAAGGTCTTAACAAAGTTCCTCTGTGGCTCATACACTTTCATCTAATTCATATTCAGTGCAGGTGGTTGGGGGCACCACTGACAGGTCTTTTATCTCTTTTTTTTTCACCGCTCTGTTTTTCTCAGTCTGCTGACTTGCCTTTTCTTTGAACTATTACTTTGTCAATAGCCTTCACGCCACTATTACTATTAGGTCTACTTCTTTATTTTCCCTCTGTTGTAATGTTGTGTCTGTCTGTCTTTCTTACTTTTTCCCAGCACTAAATGACCATTATTGTGTTGTATTTCTTAAACAAACAGGGTTAGAGACAGTTGGATTCGCTGGTGACGCAAAAATTTTAGCTTTTTTAGGGGCCCATAAAAACATTACTTTTAGAGAGATAGAACAAAACGATATTCTGATATAGATACCAAAACAATTGAATTTTTTTAGGTAATAGCATCATTTAGCTAATAAGAAAATAGCTTTGATGCAGTTTAGTGCTCAAGAAAAAGTGGTCCATCAGACCAACAACAAAAAATCCTCCAGGCGTAAGTAGACCCATCTCTTCCTCATCATCTGGATCAGGAGAACCATTGTTTGCTAAAGAACTACAAGCTTCACTTTCTAAATCAACAACTACTCCATCTTCTTTGTCAGATCCATCTTCCATCTCAATTTCAAATTCATCGAAAACTGTTAAGACTTCTCCTGGACGTTGCCATTTTCGGTTGTACTTTCGATTACTCAATGCGCTTATGACTTGAACAAAAATGCTTAGAAAAACAGCGTCAGTTCAATTAGTGAAAGTGATATATATAAACATGTGTATAAAAATGGCAAAACTTTTATGTCCCTCGTCATCAAACTTGTATCCCTTAGGATGTGTAGTACCATAGCAATCTTTAATATAACTTGTCGGACACATTTGTCTGGTGCGTCAACTAGCGTAGAACAGCCTGTCGAACAAATGAGTCAGAGCCTTTCGGACAAATGAGTCAGACAATTCGGCAATGAGTTAACGAAGTATGGCCTAAATGGGCACCAAAAGGGCAGTTCAGAGACTTATTTTACAAGTGCCACTTCTTCTAGGACGGTTGTTTGCATTTGGTGTTCTTATAGAGGTAACAGTAACAATCCTGTATTTTGGGCAGTGAACTATCATCAGTCTTGTGTGTTATGTGTAGTGAACAGCGAATCCCGTCTTTATCTACCTCTTAATCTTAGGTCTCATTTATTGCATATATCCGTAATTTATCTCTTGCTTTGAAGATCCACTGCTTCCATACTACAGCGGCACACCCTGATGTACATGTACATAATTTGTCCTACCTTCGTGTTTTTAGAAAGATTGATTTAATTGGTCGACACATTTCAACTTTTTTCTACCACCTGAGTCATTGTGTTTTTAAAAGTCATTTTGGGTCGCTGATTTCAGAATAGTTCATAGTCACATCAGATCGTCGCCTCGGAACTATTTTTTCCAAAAAGTAAAGAGGCACTTTGGACGAAATAGTTCTGAAGCGACAAGATGTCATTTTCTGTCTTTGGCCGTAAATCACTTTCATAATCCAGAATGGTAACCTGTGCAGCTCATATGAGGTGCCTGTGATTTCTCTCTCTCACCAATTACATATACATCATGTATATTATATTCGAAATGTTTGTATGCAAGTTTGACTTTACTCGTCAGCTTCCTTCACTAATCTTGTGGAATGAATATTTCATATAATATGTATGAAACTATGAGTATGAAGGGTGCCGACAAAATGAGTTACTTTTTGGATTTGAGCTCTATGGAAATAGATACACCACGGTTATACTTATAGGTGAAGTTTTACAATATAAGTATTAAATAATTTTTTAAAAGGCATAATGTACTTTAGAATATGGCATCAATAGAAAATCTACAAATTTGACCCTAGTGTCGATTTTTGACCAACATCTCCATTTGTGGATTGCGAGAAGTTATTTTAGTACCTGACTCATTTTGTCAGCACACCTCACTTACACATGCCTAAATAGATATATATAACAGTATATAAAAAATACAATAGTGAATAACTAAAAATCCATATGGAAGAAAAAAAAAACAAATTTTTTTCAGAATTGAAATCAGCGTACCAAAAAACATAAAGTAAGCATATTTGTTGGCTCAGGGGCAAAATATCTGTTGTGACAAGTGTTATTTGTGTCTCTGAGTGCTGTTCTTTTTGTCATTGCTTGTTGTAAATATGTACGTGTGTATGTGTGTGCGTGCATGTTCTTGTACATATATTTTTTTATGTGTGTGTGTGTGCCAGCAACATCTTTTGACATCCTTTTTCCTGTGTTTTTCTCTTACACAAGTCACACAATGTGTGTGCATACATTAGCCTTATGGAGCTGGTAAATGTAAGGACAGGTGTCGTACAGCCCTTGTATATATATGCATAAATTACTTAATAAAATGACTAGGTGACCTGTCTGTTGTCTGAGGTAGAAATAGAATGTAGTCAATGGGAGGTTGGCGGGTGCTCTGGTGTGGTTTGCTTCTTCTTTCCTATCAAACATCTGTCGTCCTTATCTCCCCTTCTTCTTTTTTATGTTACTCTCTTGTAACACCTCTAAACTTCTCGCGCTCATATGACCTTGTGCAGTTGCGAGCGCCGTAAAACCTCTACTAAAACTAAAACTAAAGAATGTAGTGAACAACACTTCACCCACCTCTTCCTTTACTTTACATCATGTATTAACTATGTTGTGGTTGTCTATGTGCCCTGGTTATTCTCCTACTCAATTTTAGCGTTGCTTTCGTCTTACCTAATGATGGGTGGTTGGCTGATGCTCTTGTGTGGTTTGCTCTTTCTTACTCTATGAAACATGTACTGTCCTTGTCTTTCCTCTTTCTTTTCAATGTATGTTTTAAAGCTACTCTGTAGGAACACTTCTAGTCTTCACCCATTTGTGTTGCAAGTGCTGCATAACGCTTACTAAAGTTTAGTTCTGATTCTAATCTGTACCAGGTGGGATGGTGGGTGGTTGCAGTGCCGTCACTGGCAGCTTGTCTTCCTTTAGGGGCTGTTCAAAAATATAATCTTACGCCTGGGGAGGTGTTTCTTTGGCTCCTGTAAGAAAAATGTAATATTATATTACTATTACACTTTTTTTTTCAGTTCCGAGATGAATTTTATCAGAATTCCACTGTAATTTGTTTACTTTGTAATCAAGGCGCTTTTGACATTGACATGAGTCTCGATTTTTTCCTTAGTAATAAAGAGTATGCAATATTTTTCTTGAATGATTTACTCTGTTAGTTTTTTTAGTGAACTTAGAACTGCATATTATTAATATTATGTGCATGTATGTGTGTATGCATGTTTTTCATGAATATTATGTAAAGCGCATAGTACAGTACAATGATTGTAACGCGGATTTGCGCGATTTATATGTCACATTATTGTTATTATTATTACGAACAATGTAATATGGGATTGTGGAAGAGACAAATGTAAGTAACAAAATGTAGGGGGGGGGGGGGGGGGGAGCAAAAAGGCTCTAAAATTTGTAAGATTATATTTGAACAGCCCCTTACTGTTTGTCCTGTATCTAGATCTGTTTGTTCTTCTCATCTATGGCCAGTCCTGGTACTTGTGCTACTGCTACTACTACTACTCTCTCATCTTTGTATGTTTCGTCCTCTCCCTTTACCATCTGTTTTTCTGTCTGTTCGTTCTTCTCATCTGTGGCCAGTCCAAGTACCACTACTACTGGTACTAGTGCTACTCTCTCATTTGTATGTATGTTTCGTCCTCTCCCTCTACTATCTCAATCTGTTCAGTCTGTCTGTTGGCTCTTCTCGTCTGTGGCCAGTCCCAGTACTACTACTGTAACTATGTATGCTACTCTCTCGTCTTTGTATGTTTCGTCCTCTCTCTTTACAAAGTACTGTCTGTTCTGTCTGTCTCGTCTTCTCATCT